CAGCCCCAGCTTCTGCCAACCTAGCAGTTCGAAAACATGCAAATGTGAGTAGATGAATAGGTACTGCTCCGGCGGGAAGGTAACAGCACTCCATGCAGTCATGCCGGCCACATGACCCAGAAAGTGTCTATGGACAACGCTGGCTCTTCGGCTTAGAAAAGGAGATGAGCACCACACCCCAAAATCGGACATGACTGGACTTAATGTCAGGGGAAAACCTTTACCTTACCTTTACCTTAGATGACCTGACCAGGATGGTCAATAGGAGAAGAAATGGTGTGTGTGTGTCATTTTTTAAAACAATCTCCTCTTATATGGTATTGAATAGGACTCCCAAGTATAGCTACATATATGTGTGTATGTATAGTTTATAGTTCATTTATTTCACCAGTGATATGACCGTATCAAAATACAACAATATGTGTATGTATACATATGTATACATATACAGGAAAGTGGATTGATTAGAAATGGACAACTATGTATATTGATGGGACATATAGGTGACGCAGTGGGTTAAAGCGCTGAGCTGCTGAACTTGCTGACCGAAAGGTCACTGGTTCAAATCCAGGGAGCAGGGTGAGCTCCCACTATTAGCCCCAGTCTCTGTCAACCTAGCAGTTCCAAAACATGCAAATGTGAGTAGATTGGTAGGTACTGCTCCAGCAGGAAGGTAACAGCGCTCCATGCAGTCATGCCAGCCACATGACATTGGAGGTGTCTACGGACAACGCTGGCACTTTGACTTAGAAATGGAGATGAGCACCAAGCCCCAGAGTTGGACACGACTGGACTTGATGTCAGGGGAAAACCTTTACCTTACCTTTACCTTAGATCCGTGGTTCTCAACCTGGGGTCCCCAGATGTTTTTGTCTTACAACTCCCAGAAATCCCAACCAGTTTACCAGCTTATTCGGATTTCTGGGAGTTGGAGGCCAAAAACATCTGGGGACCCCAGGTTGAGAACCACTGCCTCAGATGAACTTACCAGGATGGTCAATAGGAGAAGAAATGGTGTGTGTGTGTCTGTGTGTCATTTTTTAAAACAGTAATAATATAATAATAATAAACTTTATTTAATACCCTGCCACCATCTCCCCAATGGGGACTCGGGGCGGCTTACATGAGGCCAAGCCCACAGCATATTACAATAAAATAAAACCAAAACACAATAACAACACAATAAAATACATACAACATATGAGTACAAAAACCGATAATGCAAAACCATATACAATAAAACAATCTCTCTTATATAGTATTGAATAGGACTTCCAAGTATAGCAACAAATGTGAGTAGATTGGTAGAAAGTAACGGCACTCCATGCAGTCATGCTGGCCACATGACCTTGGAGGTGTCTATGGACAACGCTCACTCTCTGGCTTAGCAATGGAGATGAGCACCAAGCCCCAGAGTTGGACACAACTGGACTTAATGTCAGGGGAAGACCTTTACTTTTAATACATATGTATACAAACTCAGGAAAGTGGATTTATTAGAAATGGACAACTATGTATATTGGTGGAACATAGAAGTGTGTAGACTTTTCCTTTCCGAAAGCGTTTGCAGCTGTCAGGGGTTGGTTAATAAAAGCATTCCACTTCAGGAAGGAAAGATAGAGAACTATGGAGTGCAATTCACAAGTTTTATTGACAGCAAGTTCATTGTCAGCAGCAAGAGACTCGAGGCAACCATGGATTGATGGCCAAAGGTGCGCCTTTTGGCAGGTTAATTTAAATCCTTAGTGTCTCACAGTGAGTCAGCTTTCCTCAGCCTCCTTGACAGGAGTGCAAACTGAAAATTACCTGCTGCTAGCTGTCCATCTCGTTCTTTAAGCCTTATGAAGTCCTGGCGACACACTCTTTCTCATTTGGATGAAATATTGGCCCTCAGGATGAGTCATGGGAGGACTGGAAAACTGTGACGGCTGCCAAAACGTTAAGAAAGATATTTTTCATGTTGCCCTGTCATTTGGATGCGGGGAGGAGAATATATGATTGCTAATGTTCTGTAAACAGATCCAGCAGTGTTCTTTGTAATTACATCTGTTTGGCAAACACGGACATGTCTGCAGATAGGAAGGGGTCAGAGCGTGATGGAGAAATCCAGTGGGCTCTGCTTTGCTGGGAAAGAGGCGGCTGCGTTTTGCTCCGGATTCGTGGGGCTCCTTCATTGCATTCTTTAGAGCAGTGTTTCTCAACCCTGTGGGGGTCGTGAGGGGGTGTCAGAGGGGTCGCCAAAGACCATCAGAAAACACAGTATTTTCTTTTGGTCATGGGGCTCTGTGTAGGAAGTTTGGCCCAAATCTATCATTTGGTCCAGATCCATCATTGTTTGAGTTTTGCTCTTTGATTGCTTTTTGATTGTTGGTGAACTATAAATCCCAGAGCCCCCAGTGGCACAGTGGGTTAAACTGTTGAGCTGCTAAAACTTGTTGACTGACAGGTCGCAGGTTCGAATCTGGGGAGCAGCGTGAGCTTCCACTGTCAGCCCCAGCTTCTGCCAACCTAGCAGTTCAAAAACATGCAAATGTGAGTAGATCAATAGGTACCGCTCCAGCAGGAAGGTAACAACGCTCCTTGCAGTCATGCTGGCCACATTACCTTGGAGGTGTCTATGGACAATGCCAGCTCTTCGGCTTAGAAATGGAGATGAGCACCAATCCCCAGAGGTGGACATGACTGGACTTAATGTCAGGGAAAAATCTTTACTTATAAATTCCAGCAACGACAACTTCCAAATGACAAAATCAATCCCCCCCCCCAACCCCACCAGTATTCAAATTTGGCATATTGGGTATTTGTGCCAAATTTGGTCCAGTGAATGAAAATGCATCCTGCGTATCAGATATTTACATTACGATTCATAACTGTAGCAAAACGACAGTTACGAGGTAGCAACAAAAATAATGTTATGGTTGGGGGTCACCACACCATGAGGAACTGTATCAAGGGGTCGTGGCATGAGGAAGGTTAAGGACCACTGCTTTAGAGTTATTTAAAGTGGTCATCTCTGCACCACAAATGGGTCGCTGTTACTCTGCAAAGGGGATCTAGAAAAGAAAAAGTTGTAAGTCGCCTGGCTCGAAAGCAGCACGTGTGAAAAAGATATTGGAGTCCCTGTGGACAACAAGTTAAACATGAGCCAACAATGTCATGCAGCAGCAAAAAAAGCCAATGGGATTTTGGTCTGCATCAATAGGAGTCTAGTGTCTAGACCAGCGTTCCTCAACCTGGGGGTCGGGACCCCTGGAGGGGTTCTTAGGGGGTGTCAGAGGGATCACCAAAGACCATCAGAAAATACAGTATTTTCTGTTGGTCACAGGGGTTCTGTGTGGGAAGTTCGGCCCAGTTCTATCATTGGTGAGATTCAGAATGCTCTTTGATTGTAGGTGAATTATAAATCCCAGCAAATACAAGTCCCAAATGTCAAGGTCTATTATCCCCAAACTCCTCCAGTGTTCACATTTGGGCATATTGAGTATTTATGCCATGTTTGGTCCAGATGCATCATTGTTTGAGTCCACAGTGCTCTCTGGATGTAGGTGAACTATAACTCCCAAACTCAAGGTCAATGCCCATCAAATCCTTCCAGTATTTTCTGTTGGTCATGGGAGTTCTGTGTGCCAAGATTGGTTCAATTCCATCATTGGTGGAGTTCAGAATGCTCTTTGATTGTAGGTAAATTATTTCTTTATTTACTTTGCTTATATACCGCTGTATCTCAAGCCCGAAGGCGACTCACAGCGGTTCACAAACAGTAAAAACAGTAGAAACAGCAGTGGTTCCATACAACATATAACAATTGACTTAACACATTATCCATAAATTACCAATAAGCAATTACAATGCACAATTATTACAAAAAACAACCGTACCCAATCTTCTCATCATCCAAGCGTAGTCCAGGTTCGGCGTCCATTGTTCCATTCCTATGTTCCATTACCAGATTGCACTAAATTACTCAAACGCCTGCACAAACATCCAGGTCTTCACCTTTTTGCGGAATACCATTAGAGATGGTGCTAGTATACATATACATATAACTATACATCCCAACAACTACAACTCCCAAATGTCAAGGTATATTTTCTCCAAACTTCACCATTGTTCGCATTTGAATATTTGTGCCAAGTTTGGTCCAGATCCATCGTAGTTGGAAACCTAAGCAACATGTCCCTAATCGCACTTTACTAATGATCTAGGATTGTCTGCTCGCTCCATCTCTCTCCAAATACCCATCCTAGTTATATGTCACCTTGTCATGCCCAGCATTTTTTAAAATTTTAATTATTACATTTGGCCCTGCCATAGGTTTTTAATACGTCGTGGTGTTATTGTTACTGTTTCTTGCTTTCTTTATGAGTTTATGTATTTTCTGTATTGCTGTTGTTGCTGTTTTTACTGATGTATTTGGGCTCGGCCTCTTGTAAGCCGCACCGAGTCCTTTGGGAGATGGTAGCGGGGTATAAATAAAGGTTTATTATTATTATTATTATTATTATTATTATTATTATTATTATTGGTTAGACCACATCTGGAATCCGGTGTCCCACTCTGGGCACCACAATTGAAGGGAGATGTTGACTCTAAGCTGGAATGTGTCCAGAGGAGGGCGACTAAAATGATCAAGGGTCTGGAGAACAAGCCCTATGAGGAGCGGCTTAAAGAGCTGGGTATGTGTAGCCTGCAAAAGAGAAGGCTGAGAGGAGACATGATGAGGGCCAACATCCGGACTTATCATCTGTCCTCTACTAGGCAGAGACTAGAGCCTTCTCGATTGTAGCCCCTTATTTATGGAATGCCTTGCCAGTTGAAACCCGAACTATCCGAGACCTGCAGCAGAATCAAAAGCAGGTCTTGCTGTATTTATTGTGTTTTACTCTCAGGAAAGCATACAGAAGATTGCCTCCTTTTTAAAATCTAGCCTGTGCTATTGGAAAATAAGAATATATTTTCTATTAGCAATTTAATTTTGTTAATTTTTTCCCCCCTGACAGTCTTCAGTGGGTGAGAGCCTCCAACGAGAAGCCTTGAAAAAGCAAGCCATGAAACAAGTAAGTTGTCATTGCGTGCGTTTGTGTATGAGTGCACTTTGCACTCTGATCTCTTGGAAGCAGAGCCAGTGTATTCGTAGGCTCATTATTGTTATTGCATTTTGATGTATGTGACAATTTGCCTTGAAAAAAGGAGTAACAACAGCTGCAAAACAAGGAGCCTACCATTCACATGACAAGAGGGCAAAAACCATTCTTCTACTGAACTGCACTGTTATGTTGGCATCTTGCAAGTGTTTAGGTACAGGCAAATAATAAGCAATTTTTGACAAAGGAATTAGTGTTAATATTTTTGAGTGCTGATGTTTTTGACAGCATAGATTAATTTTGGGAGAAGGGCATTGTAGAATTGTTATGTCAGTATGTCAGTGTAATGTTTATAGATGATCTGGCTTAAATCTCAGTCCAATTTTATTATTATCACTAGCCATCCCCTGCCACGTGTTGCTGTGGCCCAGTCTGTGTATATGTGTTTTGTGTGTGTGTGTGTGTGTGTGTATATATATATGCGTATGTGTATATGTGTATATATGTGTGTTTGTGTATATATGTAGATTTGCGCATGTGTTGTAATTTTTTGTTTTTTGGATTTTTAAGTCTCTTCTTGGCCTGATAGGTGTCTTGTGTCCAAATTTGGTGTCAATTGGTCCAGTGGTTTTTGAGTTATGTTAGTTCCCAAACGAACATTACATTTTAATTTATATAGACTAGCCGTCCCCTGCCACGCATTGCTGTGGCCCAGTCTGTGTATATGTGTTGTGTTTGTGTATATATGTGTATATTTGTGTATATATGTGTTTGCGTTTGTGTGTGTATATCTATATATAGATAGATACTCTAATTCAGGTGATGCTTGTTTTACTCTGGAAGACAGAACTGGCTTATAAAGATACAACAGCAATAAATCTAAATAATTTTACAATCTATATAAATAAAAATGTAATGTTTGTTTGTGGGATTAGCATAACTCATATATATATATATATATATATATATATATATATATGGTTTTGCGCATGCGTTGTAATGTGGGTTTGTTTTTTGCTTTTTAAGTCTCTTCTGTTTTGTTTTTCAGTCTTTTTATGATTGATGGTCACTTCTTGGCCTGATAGGTGTATTGTGTCCAAATTTGGTGTCAATTCGTCCAGTGGTTTTTGAGTTATGTTAATCCCACAAACAAACATTACATTTTTATTTATATAGATTAGCCGTCCCCTGCCATGCGTTGCTGTGGCCCAGTCTGTGTATATGTATTTAGTGTGTGGATATATTTGTGTATATGTGTGTTTGCGTGCGTGTGTGTGTGTATATATATATATATATATATATATAGCTTTGCGCATTTGTTGGAATGTTTTGGGTTTTTTTTTGCTTTTTAAGTCTCTTCTGTGTTTTTCAATGTTTTTATGAGTGATGGTCACTCGTTGGCCTGATGGGTGTCTTGTGTCCAAATTTGGTGTCAATCGTCCAGTGGTTTTCAAGTTACGCTAATTGCACAAACAAACATTACATTTTTATTTATATAGATTGTAAAATTATTTAGATTGATTGCTGTTGTATCTTTATAATCCAGTTCTGTCTTCCAGAGTAAAACAAGCATCACCTGAATTAGAGTTTGAACTTTTGAGTTTCCATATTTACGTAATAGATTATTCCGCTTTTGGAGAGGTCTATTTCGCTTGGGCTTCTTTTAGCTGTGCCGGCGTTGTTAAATGAAAACACCCAAGGTGTGTAGTGTAGCAGGTTGCCATAGATCTGGTCATCATTTACAAAACGCCGTAAAACGTAGAGACGAATTTAGCACCTACGCTATAAAAGTCTTGCAAGAGAGAAGCAGGCTCCCTCTCTGACATCAGGCACAGGGGAATATTCGCTGAATGAATTGTTACACAGCTTTTGTTTTGGAACCGGTAGCGTAAAGCTGTGAGAAAGCACAATCTGTCAAGTGTCTTGGCCCAGTGTTTGCCATTGCCCCGGACTTGATTAAACTGGGATTGAAGGAAAACAGATGTGAAGGAAAGTTTGCCGTTGGGTTACTAACGCAGGAGATGGCCTGGAGATTGTGAGAGATAATACTGCTTTTATATTAAATTCACACATCCTTTGGTTCTTGCGGAAACAAGAGTTGATACACATCCAGTCCTTTTCCCAATGTATTTTGGATAAAGTGTAAGATTTAGCTTGAACAGCACAGAGGGTTAAAGCACTGAGCTGCTGAACTTGCTTACCGAAAGGTCGACAGTTCAAATTTGGGGAACGGGGTGAGCTACTGCTGTTAGCCCCAGCTTCTGCCAACCTAGCAGTTAGAAAGCATGCAAATGTCATCAGAGCGGCAAGAATAATTTACGCAAAGTCTTGGAGACAAAAAATAAGACCGCAGAAAGAAGATTGGCTAATGAAAATCCTTGATATAATGAACGTGGATAAATTGACATTTCAAAGATACAGAACAAACATATGAAGATGACAGACTGGGCATCCTTGAAGATCTGGTTAAAGGATAATAAAGTAAAGTTAATGATATAAATGGAGCAAAGACAACACAGTATTGACAGATCCACCACCAGTTGAAGGCAGAAGAAGAGAACAAATCTTATGAAATAAGAAAATATACCGAAGACACTAATATGAAGAGAAACGGAAGAATTAAACCCCTTCCCACCCCTCCCTTTCCCATTTCCATTTTTCTTCTTCTTTTTTTCTTCTTTTTTGTTTCTTTGCTATCACTCTTCCCCCCCCCCCCAAGTTTTATTGTAGAAAAAAATCCTTTAATAAAAATTATATATATAAAGAAAGCATGCAAATGTGAGTAGATCAATAGGCTCCAGCAGGAAGGTAATAGTGCTCCATGAAGTCATGCTGGCTACATGACCTTGGAGGTGTCTACGGATAATGCCAGCTCTTTGGCTAATAATAATAATAATAATAATAATAATAATAATAATAATAATAAACAACTTTATTTATATACTGCTCTATCTCCCGGGGGGACTCAGGGCGATTTCCAAGCAACAACATCAAAACATACAGARTCACAATTATTTGTTAGGGCATGGAAAAGGAATGGGTCAGGACAATTAAAAAGACTGGGTCAAGACTGATACAAATTGAAATAAGATGGGACCGGCATTTGGGTACAGTACTGTAATAGGTAAAGCAGGGATGGGCTATTTCCAGGGGCCTGTTAGGAAAATGACCAGGGTAATATATAGGGTGCTAGGTCGTGTCCGGACAGTGTCTGGGCTGAGCTAGCACTGGTCACTCTCGAAGATTTGTTGAAACCACCAAGTCTTCAAACTCTTAGGAAAAAAGGGGAGGGATGGGGCCTGTCTTATTTCCCTTGGAAGGGCGTTCCAGAGGTGGGAGGCCACCACCGAGAAGGCCCTCTCTCGTCCCCACCAACCATGCTTGTGATGGAGGTGGGAGCGAGAGGAGGGCCTCCCCAGAGGATCTTAGAGTTTGCGCCGGTTCATAGAGGGAGATGCAATTGCGAAGATAGGCGGGGCCCGAACCGTTTAGGGCTTTATAGGTCATTAGAAATGGAGATGAGCACCAACCCCCAGAGTTGGACACCACTGGACTTAATGTCAAGGGGGATCCTTTACTTTTACTATACCTGCTAATGAAGAAAGAGACGTGGCAGTGAGGAGGCGAAGGCTTCGCTCCCTTGTATAGAGATCTGTAAGAATTCACTAGCTCCCTAAATGTTTTTTCGGAAGAGAATGCTCTTGTTTGTAGCTTCTGTCTTCCTTGAGAACACGATAGCGAGGACAAGCTTCCTGGAAGTTTCCAATAAAAATGTCACATCTTTTTTTTTCTTTCCTTGTCTCGCACTTTCCTTTACAGACCAAGCTTGAGATCCAGAGGGCATTGGCTGAGGACTCCACGGTGTATGAATACGACAACATTTATGACGACATACAGCAGAAGAAGGCAGAAAGTCAGGCCAGCGTCCTGGCAGGGAAAGGGGAGAAAAAGGTCCGAACCTGGAAATGAATGTGTGGTCTGTCTTTGCCTCTCTCTGTGCTTGGGACAGTTGGGCCATGAAAACCTGCAGCTGCGGGAGGAGGGATGTGGGGCCACCGAGGGGAAAGGGAAAGGCCTTATTCAGAGTGAATCTAAGGTCAGCTGTCACTACTCAAAACACATCATGGAAAATTCAGGTGGGAGTAATCTGCTGCTGCTGTTTGTCACTCGAGTAACAGCTTCATTCTTGCACGGGGACCCGGCGATGCCCGGGTTATTTGAAAAAGTCATTGTTTGTTCTGGAGTATTAGGTAATATCATTATTAATATCAATATGCATGGCCACATTCCTGTGTATGAACCCACACAATCCCTTCGATCATCTGGAGAGGCCCTGCTCTCGCTCCCACCCCCTTCGCAGGTGCGATTGGCGGGGACGAGGGAGAGGGCCTTCTCTGCGGTGGCCCCCCAACTCTGGAATTCACTTCCTAAGGATATCAGGCAAACCCCCACATTGTCGGTCCTTAGGAGGAGCCTGAAAATGTGGCTGTTCCAGTGTGCCTGAATAAAGGAAACAATTCCCTGCAAAATGTCCTCAGAAGCACTTTACTCATTGGGTTGCTCTCCCTACATTTCCTTTAAAACCCTCCTGCTTAGATACATCCTACCTCTGTTCACGCCCAGTGTTTATTTTTAAATTTTTAAACTATTACATCTGGCCCAGCCATAAGTAAAAAACAACAACATTTTTTTTTTGCATATTATTGTCTATATGTGAATTATACTAATTGTATTGTTTTATTTGCTTATTGACTTATTGTTTTACTGATGTGTTGCTGGGCTTGGCCTTAGTCCCCTTGGGGACATGGTGGCAGGGTATAAATAAAGTTGTTGTTATTATTATTATTATTATTATTATTATTATTATTATTATTATCAATTTGGTAATGTATAGCTCTGTTTCTTGAGAAAAAGTCAGTCTTTCCTGTTGTTTCTTTCTAAATGCTCCCATATAAAAATGCATATGGGTGAACTACAATTCCCAAAATCATGGGTCATTCACCCCAAGCTCTACCAGAATTCAAACTTGGCCATGTTGGGTCTGTGTGCCAAGTTTGGTTCAGATCCGACGCTGGCTGGGTTCAGTGCTTTCTGGATAAGAGCGAACTACAACTCTCAGATCCAAGGTCATTTACCCCCCAAACCCTGCCTGTATGCACAGTTGGCCATGTTGGGTCTGTGTGCCAGATTTGGTCCAGATCCATTGTCAGCTGGGTGGAATGCTCCGGTCATTCACCTCCAAACTCTGCCTGTATTCCCAGTTGGCCATGTTGGGTCGATGTGCATCAGCAGGGTTCACTGCTCTCTGCAAAAGAGTGAAATGCAACTCCTCCATCCAAGAGCAATCAGCCCCCAAACCCCGTCTGTATGTACAGTTGGCCATGTTGGGTCTGTGTGCCACGTTTGGTCCAGATCCATTGTCAGCTGGGTGCCTTGCTTTCTGGATAAGGACAAACTACAACTCCCAAACTCAAAGTCAATGCTCACCAAACCCTCCCAGTATTTTCTGTTGGTCATGGGAATTCTGTGTGCCAAGTTTGGCTCAATTCCATCGTTGGTGAGGTTCAGAATGCTCTTTGATTGTAGGTGAACTATAAATCTCAGTAACTACAACTCCCAAATGACAAAATCAAAATCACCAGTATTCAAATTTGGGCATATTGGGTATTTGTGCTAAATTTGGTCCAATGAATAAAAATACATCATGTGTATCAGATATTTATTATTGTTATTATTATTACTATTATTATTAACATTACAATTTATAACAGTAGCAAAATGACAGTTATGAAGTAGCAATGAAAATAATTTTAAGGTTGGGGGTCACCACAACCTGAGGAACTATATTAAGGGGCTGCAGCGTTACGAAGATTGACAAACACTGCTATAAGCCTTAGGCACACAACAACAATTGTCAAAACTATCCCACAACACTATTTGTGTATGCGGTCGCAAGTCCCCTTGTTCCTTTTCCCTGTCCGTTTGTCTCTGCAGCCCAAGTACATCCAGAATATCCTCAAGGCAGCGGAGCTGAGGAAGAAGGAGCAGGAGAGGAGGATGGAAAAGAAAATCCAGAAGGAACGCGAAATGGAAGGGGATGCCTTTGATGACAAGGAAGCCTTTGTCACCTCGGCCTACAAGAAGAAACTGCAAGAAAGGGCCGAAGAGGAAGAGAGGGAGAAGAAGGAGGCGGCCCTTGAAGGTGAAGACATTAGGCTCTTATATTGTCATCCTTTGCCCTGATACTTTTCTAATTTATTTCTTTATTAAGGAGATTGGGCTCTTGTTGGTTTTTGAACCACCAATGCCCTTCCTGTTTCTTTCTGGATATTATTACTGTTGTTTATCTTTTCTTTCTTCTTCCAGCGTGCCTGGATGTGACCAAGCAGAAGGACCTCAGTGGTTTTTACAGGCACCTGTTGAATCAGACGGTGGGGGAAGAGGAAACGCCCAAGTGCAGCCTTCGCGAAGCCAGGTAAACGTGAAATGGTGAGGCAGGGAGGGAGGCCCCAGCTTGCTCTGGGATCACATTCCTAGGATTTCCTGGCTTACAAAGGGCCAGGTGGATCCAAAGTATGGCCTACGTTACTAACCATTTAGATGAGGACAGGAAAAAGCAAGCGTTGGATAGCACTATATTCTAGCGCAATAGGGGTCTTGAAGATTACTTACTTAGGCAATCCCTCATAGCTCGAGAATGATTGTCTTTCAGATGTGGTGTCTTGGTGGGGGGTCCGTAGGTGGCTGTGGAGCCCTGTTCTTGATCCGCATCTTCTCCCGCAGTGAGGGCATTGGTTTCCAGGTGGAAGGCGGTCCTGGTCACCTTGGCACATTTCTCCCTTTCGCCCTCCGTTCATGCCTCTTCGAATTCTGCAGCACTGCTGGTCACAGCTGACCTCCAGTTAGAGCGCTCAAGGGCCAGGGCTTCCCAGTTCTCTCTTGGTGTCTATGCCACAATTTTTAAGGTTGGCTTTAAGCCCATCTCTTTCCCTGTCCAATGCCAATCCTAAAGTTTGTGCAAAGTGTTTTCCATGAAGAGCTTCAAGACAGTCTAGCCAATAATCATTTAATAATACACTTTATTTATAACCTGCCACCATCTCCCCAAAGGGAACTCAGGGCAGCTAACATGAGGCCTAGCCCAAAATAATACAACATAATAAACACACAATAACAAAATACATCATAACAAAATATGAAATAACAAAATCAACAATATAAAACAGCATAGTAAAACCAGACACAGAGGGTGGGCCAGATGTATGAGGTAGAATGTTAAAAAGTTAAAACCCTGGGTGAGATAGGAATAAAAGTGCATTTGTAGGAGAGGAGCCCAACAGGGAGGAAAGCCAAGGATTGTGAGACCATTCCTAAAAAAGGTTATCATAGCAACAGTATTTCTTTCGTACTGTTGAAGGCTTTCATGGCCAGAATCACTGGGTTGTTGCAAAGTTTTCAGGTTGTATGACCAGGTTCCAGGAGCAAACTCTCCTAATGTTTCACCTGCATCTATTGCCTCCCAACTTCAGAAGATGCCTGCCATAGATGCAGATGAAACGTCAGGAGTGAATGCTTCTGGAACATGGCCAGACAGCCCTGAAAACACCTCCCTCATAGTTTATCGAAAGAAACTAAAGGCATGGTTTTGGGACCAGGCTTTTGGACAATAGATGCAAGCAGCACTTTAAGGGAATGTGACTAGAATGACGATATGGCTGATGAGTCTGTTTTATTGTTTTAACGATGGCTTATGTATCGTTAATTATGCTTTTATGTCTAATTGTGGTTTTCATTTTGTAATTTGTTATGTCATGACTTGGGAATGGGGCCCATTGTGAGCTGTCCTGAGTTCCCCTTCGGGGGTTGAGAAGGACGGGATAGAAATGCGAGAAATAAATAAATAATAATAAATTGTGCCTATTGTAATTTTATATTACTATATTCTTGTGGGTTTTTTCGGGCTATAGGGCCATGTTCTAGAGGCATTCTCTCCTGACGTTTCGCCTGCATCTATGGCAAGCATCCTCAGAGGTAGTGAGGTCTGTTGGAATTAGGACAATGGGTTTATATATCTGTGGAATGGCTGGGGTGGGGCAAAGAGCTCTTCTCTGCTGGAGCTAGGTGTGAATGTTTCAACTGACCACCTTCATTAGCATTTGAAGGCCTGGCTGAGCCTGGAAAAATCTTTATAATTACTCTGAGGATGCTTGCCATAGATGCAGGTGAAACGTCAGGAGAAATGCCTCTAGAACATGGCCATATAGCCCGAAAAAACCTACAAGAACCCAGTGATTCCGGCCATGAAAGCCTTCAACAATAATTTTATATTGCTATGTTTTCATATGTTTTATGTAATTATGTTGTTTGTTGTTTATTGTTTGCGTTTTCAGTTTTTTATTGTAATTTTCTGTTTGGGCTTGGCGTCATGTAAGCCACTCGGAGTCCCGATTGGGGAGATGGTGGCAGGGTATAAATAAAGTATTATTATTATTATTATTATTATTCTCAACTTGTAGTTCTTTGTTTTGTTTCTCTCAAAATGAACCCCACCACCATCCAGGTTAAAGGAAGACCCCTCCAGTGAGCATCCCAGAAATACAGGCGAGAGCAGAAATGGGGGGACAGGACCAGCGAAGGGAGAAGACAATCCAGACGCGGACAGCGACTTGGAAATCGATACCAGCGAGGACGAGAAAGTTGAGAAAGTTGACCGGCGGGAGGAGAGAAAGGAGAGCAGGAAAGGCCACGGCGGGGAGAGATCCAAGCACCGCAAGAGGTCCTCCAGCGAGGAGGGAAGCCGTTCCTCAAAGGCGCTGGCGGGTCACCGAGACAAGGAGGACGAAGCCAGGAAGGAAAGAAGAGGGAGTGAGAAGAAGCTGAGGCCGGACGATCACGAAAGGGAGGACAGGCAGAGGAGTAAAGACAGGAAGGAGAGAGATGACTACCACCGAGAGATGAAGAAAGAGAAGGACAGGGAAGACAAGTACTCTGAGTGGGAACAGCAAGAGAAAGACAGGGAGACGAGCGGAAAGGACCACCGTGAGAAGAGAGATGGAGACCAAGGGGCAAAGGAAGGCAGGGAGGAGAAGCAGCAGCAGAAGGAGAGCAATAGCAGGAGCCCAGGGAGAGGGAAAGAGAGCCCCCCACACTCTGAAAAGTCACCTGAAGAGAAACACAAGGCTTCTGGGGAGGGAGAGGAGCAAGCGGAGAAGCTCCCAGAGCAGCAGAGTAAGTTTGCCAAGCGTAGCAACCAAGAGACGGTCATGTCGGCCAGAGATCGCTACCTGGCTCGGCAGATGGCGCGGATGGGCGCAAAGGCCTACATAGAGAAAGAGGAGGATTAGGGTTCTCTCTGGAGAGGTGGCACATGCCCCATAGCGAAGGTTCAAAGGCCCGAAGGAGTGAAAAGGGCTATTTAATTCCAGAGGGAAAGATCTGATCTTGGAACGCAGGGTCGGTAAGTCAACTTGTGCCTGTTTTGGCCCTTCCCTCCATCGTTTACACTGTTTCGGAGTCTACGAGAAGGCAGCAAGGCTTCTTTTTGCTCCGCAGCCTATGCAGAACCCTTTGTGGAGGTTTCCTCGTGATCCTTTGGCCCAAAGGGGAAAAACATATAGACTTAATGTGATGAGGAAATCAGTCCAAAATTGGTAGAATGATTTCTGCATTTGTAAACAAAGACCACAATTTAGTGCCACAGCGACGTTTAAACGCTGGGAGGTTTTGTGTGGGTTTTGTCGTCTGTTCTGTGCAGAAACATTGAAATAAAAGGAAAGTGGTGAATTTTCAGTCACGCTTGGCTCTGTTTCTCCCCTCCTCCCTGCTAAATCTTAGCTCAGCTGCGTTATTTCTTCCCATGGCATATAGTAAGCAAAGTCAACGTGGACACAGAGAGAGCATCAACAGTATCAGTCATCTGCTTCCGCCCACGCAGCCTGTTGTGCAAAGGAACGCTGGATCAGGCCCCGTGCGCTAGAAATGCCAAGGGATTATGGAGCTGCCATAAAAGACACTCCTACCTCTGCGCTTGGCAAGGGAGGGATCTGGCACAGGGAATGTTTTCATAAGACGGCTTTCAACAAAAGACTCCTTCCCCTCCTCACCTTCCTTCCCAGCAGACTTCTTCCCCAATTGGACGCATCCGCACCAAAATCAGAAATGTAGGTCTTTTGAGAAGAAACCTGTCAGGTCACCACTCATGGCTACCTCAATTGCAGTGTTTTCAATTAAGACCTTGGTGTGTGCAAAAAATATTTCCCTGAGTGCTGCAGACTTGCCATCACAAGTTGTTGGCTTTCCAGGTGTCTCTCTCCCGTGATAAGTATGATTATGCGTATTGTCGAAGGCTTTCATGGCCAGAATCACTGGGTTGTTTTAGGTTTTTCGGGCTGTCTGGCCATGTTCTAGAAGCATTCTCTTCTGATGTTTCACCTGCATCTATGGGAGGCATCCTCAGAGGTTGATGTGGTCCATCCAGTGCAATTTTCTGAATCAGCTGATGTGGTCTATCCAGTACAATTTTCTGAATCAGCTGATGTGGCCTATCCAATGCAATTTTCTGAATCAGCTGATGTGGTCTATCCAATGCAATTTTCTGAATCAACTGATGTGGTCTATCCAATGCCAATTTCCAAATCAGCTGATGTGGTCTATCCAGTGCAGTTTTCCAAATCAGCTGATGTGGTCTATCCAGTGCAATTTTCTGAATCAGCTGATGTGATCTATTCAGCCCAGTTTTATGAATGAGCTGATGTGATCTATCCAATGCAATTTTCTGAATCAGCTTATGTGGTCTATCCAATGCAGTTTTCCAAATCAGCTGATGTGGTCTATCTAATGCAATTTTCTGAATCAACTGATCTATCTAATGCAGTTTTCTGAATCAGCTGATGTGGTCTATCCAACCTCTGAGGATGCCTGCCATAGATGAGAGAATGCTTCTGGAACATGGCCATACAGCCCAAAAAACCCACAAAAACCCTATGATTTTGTGCATTATGCTCAATGTCTTTAGAAGCCAGAGCATATCCTGTTTGGACCCTGCATCCCAGGGAGCCCAGGAAGGAGCTTTGTGTTTTTTTGTAGACATAGAGACCAGGGCAGCCTCTTTGCCAGCGCCAGAAATAGGCATGCACTTTCCTAGTGCTTTCCAGACTCTCTGTTTCCATAGCAAAGTTTTGATGGAGTGGTCTTCAGATTTTAGGGAGGGTTATGTCACTGGTGATGTAAGAGGGTGAGTTTCCTGTTTAGTTTTGTTTTGGGAAAATGCCATTCATGTATTTCTAACATCTTAAATACTACTGAGCTTTGGCCCTTGGTCTTTGGCCTTTTTTTCTTGAAAGGAAGGGACCTTGCTAAAGGCTGGAGTCTTTGCAATTGAGTTCTCCTGGGCACGGTTTAGAACAGTGGTTCCCAACCTGTGGTCCATGGAATGCAAGAACGAAAATATGATCCATGGCTTCATCATTACTACACTGTTTCCTTGAAACCACATGCAATGAAAGCGACTTGTCTTGCAAAATGCTGTTATCGTGCTGAGGCAATGGGGATGTTGGGAGGGGAGAGTCTATCTAGGACCACATCCAATGCAGTTTTCTGAATCAGCTCCCCAAATATCCAAACCCAATCTAAAGTTGACCAAAAACTGATTCGTAACTCTTTTGGTACTAATGTTCGAGAGTGGTCCCTGGCCAAAGTGGTCCTTTGCCAAAGTGGTCCGTGACCAAAGTGGTCCCTGGTCAGAGTGGATCCTGGTCAGAGTGGCCCCTGGTTAAAGTGGTTCCTGATCTAGTGGTCCCTGGTCAGAGTGGTCTCTGGTCTAGTGATCCTTGGTCAAAGTGGTCCCTGGTCTAGTGGTCCCTGGCCAAAGTGGTCCCTGGCCAAAGTGGTCCCTGGTCAGAGTGGTCCCTGGTCAAAGTGGTCCCTGGTCTAGTGATCCCTGGTCAAAGTGGTCCCTGGTCAAAGGGGTCCCTAATCAAAGTGGTCCCTGGTCAAAGTGGTCCCTGGTCAAACGGTCCATGGTCAAAGTGGCCCCTAGTCAAGTGGGCCCTGGTCAGAGTGGTCCCTGGTCAGAGTGGTCCCTAGTCTAGTGATCCCTGGCCAAAGTGGTCCCTGGTCAGAGTGGTCCTTGGTCAAAGTGGTCCCTAGTCAAGTGGACCCTGGTCAAGTGGTCGCTGGTCAAAGTGGTCCCTAGTCAAAAAAAGGTTGAGAACCACTGGTTTAGAAGGAGGCCGGAGCTGAGTTGCCTGCTTAGCAACGGCTTAAAAAAGAAACCCAAAAAGTATTCAATATGTCAGAAAGCATCACAGTTACAGTGATAACCAAATACCATCAAAAATCATAAATGCAGTTAAAAATTAAGATTTCTGTCTATTGCAGCAATCAGATCAAAGGATGAAAACCAATTATTTGCTCCAGCTAGAGGAGACGTATTGAATCAACATGAGTGTAGTAAGTCAGAACGTATGTGAGCTTCATTGATTTCATTAGGTGAGTTTATGCTGGTTGGGATTAAGAGTTGGATTTAGCCTAGAATTGTTAATTCAGTGGTTTTTTTTTTTAATATTTGTTTATATTTGTTCCAACTTTTCCAAGTGCCTTGAGTCTTGAACTGGGAAATGGGCAGAATTGTGTGTATGTGTGTATGTGTATGTATATATACATGTGTGTGTGTGTGTGTGTGTGTGTGTGTGTGTGTATATATTGGGGGGACTCAAAGCGGTGCACAACAAGTAATGGCAACATTCAATGCCGACACATATACAAACCAAAGAATAATTATATATAGAGGTGTGTGTGTGTGAAATTCTCTAACGACAAAATAGATGAGCCTTTGAATGAAGCAACTACCGCTTTCAGGGGCTCTTAGGGCACCAAAGCTGTTGGCGATGGGCGTCTAGGCTCATGTGAACCCTGTATCCAAAGGAAACAGGCTGGTCTGCTCTGGACCACAGGAAGTGAGTGTACAACACAAAGCAGCAGAAAGATGGGAAAGGATGTGGCAAATTCAACGGTAGACAGTAAGCATTTTGCAAGCCATGGTGTTGCAGCGAGTTGAGCCAAGAGTTATTCCCCCTGAGTTCAGTTGCTGAGAAATGTCAGGAGTTGGGGCTGCTTTCCGCGCTTGATGTTTTTCATAACCATACTGTGCAATTCTAGAGCAAAACTGTTTTTAAAAAATAGATCAAAGATGAAGGTCAATTAATTGCATTCAGCACAAACGTTATCTTCTGGGGCGTCTGGTAACTGTGGTCAACTTTCCCACCCTCTTTCTCCTCTTTTTTCTTTCTCTCCTTCCTTCCCTTTTTCTTTCTTTCTTTCTCTTCCTCTTCCCTTCCCTTTTCTTTCCCTTCCTCTTTTTCCCCTTTCTTCTTCTTTGCCTATTCTTGGACTGCAACTCCAGGCAGTCCTCCTGATCAATCTACCTACCTACCTATCGCTATCTAATCTATCTATCTTATCTATCTGGAGGATTGCTGGGAGTTGCAGACCAGGAATAGGAAATTGGAACTATGCCGGGATTGGGATGCTCTCAAAGAAAGCTTGCGTCTTGGAAGCGTCTTGGAAGCAGTGCATTTGGATCATCCTCCTCTCCTAAAGGGCCTGGTCTAGGGGATGCTGGGAGCTGTAATCCGGAAGAGAGTGTGGATATGCTAGTGTGTTTTTTGTTTACCAGAGGGAGTTCTTTTGCGCATGCGCTGTAGCACCTTTTTGCTTTTTTGGGAGGCTTTTTAGGTCCCTTCCGCTGTGTTTTCCAGTGTTTTTATGAGCGATGGTCACTCGTTGGCCTGAAAGGTGTCTTGTGTCCAAATTTGGTGTCAATTCGTCCAGTGGTTTTTGAGTTATGTTAATCCCACAAGCGAACATTACATTTTTATTTATATAGACTAGCCGTCCCCTGCCACGCGTTGCTGTGGCCCAATCTGTGTATATGTGTTGTGTGTGTATATTTGTGTATATATGTGTTTGCGTGTATGTATGTATGTGTGTGTGTGGTTTTGCGCATGCGTTGTATTTTTTCTTTTGGCTTTTTAAGTCTCTTCAATGTTTTTATGAATGATGGTCATGATGCTGTGGCCCAGTCTGTGCATATGAGCTTTGTGTGTATGTGTGTATATATTTTTGTATATGTGTGTTTGCTTATATATATCTGGTCTTGTGCATGCGTTGTAATGTATTTTTTGTTTTTTAAGTCTCTTCTGCTGTGTTTTCCAGTGTTTTTATGAGTGATGGTCACTCATTGGCCTGAGAGGTATCTTGTGTCCAAATGTGGTGTCAATTCATCCAGTGGTTTTTGAGTTATGTCAATCCCACAAACAAACATTACATTTTTATTTATATAGACTAGCCATCCCCTGCCACGCATTGCTGTGGCCCAGTCTGTGTATATGAGCTTTGTGTGTGCATGTGTGTGTATATTTTTGTATATGTGTGTTTGCATATATATATCTGGTTTTGCGCATGCGTTGTAATGTTTTTTTTGTTTTTTTAAGTCTCTTCTGCTGTGTTTTCCAGTGTTTTATGAGTGATGGTCACTCATTGGCCTGAGAGGTGTCTTGTGTCCAAATTTGGTGTCAATTTGTCCAGTAGTTTTTGAGTTATGTCAATCCCACAAATGAACATTACATTTTTATTTATAGATTTGCACCAGACAGTTGGGGAGTGGGGGGGGAGATACAGCTGCTCTTTTATTATGATATTCAATTTAGTTACAACAATAGCTTACGTCGCAAGGCACATACTGACCACTTACAGCCCAGCTTGGGACATTCCATAACGAAAGCGGCAACATAAGTCAATAGCGGCGCATTATGTACACATTCAGGAGGAATACTTTTGGTTCGATAAAATAAAACTCCAGTTTTCATTTTTCTCTATACAGAAACGCAAACGAACAAAAGGTAACCGTGGTCCCGGTTCAGTCAGGAAGGGGAGTGGTTTCCCTGATAAGGTCCTCAACGAAGCCTTTGCAAAGGGCCCCCATGAGCTTTGATGGGGCCTGTCCAGTGAAAACGCTTTGGAGGGCTATGGCAGAACTGGATTAAATACTGTTGTCTTTGGCACACTTATGGCTCTAGGGATGGGAGGGTTCAGAACAGCAGTGCCTCTTACATTCTAATGTGAGCTTCATATGTGCTAAGTCGGTTCAGTGTGGCCTGGTTGGCTAGAGAGTTACACAACTTGTTTCGCAACATGCATGTGCTTTGACATGTAGGCACACACATGGTGCCCTAATGGCTCCCACAAGCGTGCCCTTATTAAAAGCTACACATAGCTTTGGCTCTACTACCCTCTGAGCTACTGCTTGCAGACTATCAATGAAGGAACAATTACAGGGAACACTCATCCTGATAATGACGTTGTGGCACTGAGAAGGAAGTACTTGATCCCCCAAGTTACTCCTTTCCCAACTTTGCATTCAAAATGGAGAAGTCAAGAGATGTTATGACGGCGCTTACACGTTTGCAAGCCATCTACAAGCATTGGGACAACACAACAATCTTGGCAGGTCCTTCATGGGGTCCATCTAAAACAGTAGAGCATGGGTGCTGTTTGAAAAGCATACACAACAACCCGTTGTATGCCTGCCTGAGAGGAAAGCATGGCATTTAGTGAATTCTATTCCAGACATTGTGGGAGATACTCCACGAATGCATCAGAGGAAACCTTCTGGAGATGTGTGACACCTGGTTTTGAATGTTCAATACTATACTATGAACTTTGTGTTTGCATTTGGAGTGAGCAGCTACGTTATGGGACAGTTCTAAGCTCCTGAAAATATTAGCAACGTGGAGTGAGGAAGAAGGTGGATGAGAAGGAACTTTGGATCCTTTTCTGTCATATGTTTTGAGGATTCTCACTTGATGGCTTCACCATCTGATCTAGATTCATTTGGCTGGACTTTATGATGGTGGACTGACTGAAAAACCATACTCGGAGGTCTATCTTCCCTTGTCCTTCCAAACAACAAGTGGAAACAAGTGCCAAGACCCTTGTGGGGTATCCAGACACTCCACTTCTTTCCCTCAGCTATCACAAACTGCATGAACGGTGGGATCAAGCACATCCGACCCTTAACACACTGAGCTTTGGGTAGCTTTGCTTTGGTGAGATTTAGGGCGGCCATTCAAGCAGCGAAACTTCCTGTGAGTTGGGTGAGATGCGGCTTGTGTGAGACCGTGGGTGTTTCGTTCCAGGACCACCCGCGAAAAGTGAAAATCCACAAAGTAGGATTTTCCACACTCCATTGTTGCCAGGAAGCAAAACCCCACAAAACAGCGAGTCTGCAAAAAGTGAGCTGCAAAGTCGCAAGGGAACATTGTCGTTGAATACGTTGAGATCTTTCGAAGCAAAATACAACAGGGTGCTATTACAGAGGATCACACGGAGGGAGAATTAAAACGGGTACGTTGACACAGATAGATGGGTCTAAATACAATTTCTAGCTTGCAGCGGTCGCCCGAGCAACCATACGTATGTGTGGATTCACGCTGCCTGAAGCCTGCAGTGTGGTACTCCGAGTACTCGTTGACCCTCGCGTGTATTTTAGTCTTCATGCGTCTGAAAACAAAACCAGTGCAGTAATACGAATTCGAAAAAGAGTCTCTAGTCCCAAGGAGCGCGGGCCCCTCTTCCTAGGAAATCCTTGGGAGGCTCAAAACTTTGGACGCCACGCTTGTGCCTCCGTCACAACGAACACGCTTCTGGGTGGAAACCCACATCTTTGGGGAAGAGCCAAGGAGCCGGCGCCTCACTCTTCCCCATCCTCTTCCCACGTCCAGCGAGATGGAAACGGCTGCTTAGACGGCATTCATGTGGATGTCGCCAAAGGGAATCTCGGTGCCTGTTTCTGGCGTGATGCTTTTTAGAATACGCTGGGGAAGAGACAAAAGAGCATGTGTTAAATGGTCAACAATCTATTTCACCAAGGATAATTGCTAATTTATTGAAAGTATATACCCAACTGTTCTACTAGGATCGGATCCAAGGCAACTTACAGTTATTTGAAACCAGGTGAACATTAGGTAAAGGACATTAAGTCCAGTCGTGTCCAACTTTGGTGCTCATCTAGGTAGAAGAGCCGGCGTTGTCCATTGACACCACCAAGGTCATGTGGCCAGCATGATTGCATGGAGCACCGTTACCTTCCCGCCGCAGCGGTACCTCTTGAACTACTCGCATTTGCATGTTTTAAGCCGAAGAACCGCCATTGTTAGTAGACACCTCCAAGGTCATGTGGTCAGCATGACTGCATGAAGCACTGTTACCTTCCTGCCACAGTGGTACCTATTGATCTACTTGCATTTACATGTTTTAAGCCGAAGAGCTGGCGTTGTACGTAAACACTTCCAAGGTCATGTGGCCAGCGTGACTGCATGGAGCACTGTTACCTTCCCACCGCAGCGGTACCTCTTTATCTACTCGCATTTGCATATTTTAAGCTGAAGAGCCGGCATTGTCTGTAGACACCTCAAAGGTCATGTGGCCGGCATGTCTTTATGAAGCACCTTTACCTTCCTGCTGGAGCGATACCTATTGATCTACTCATATTTGCATGTTTTTGAACTGCTAAGTTGGCAGAAGTCTGTAGACTCCCTCCAAGGTCATGTGGCCAGCATGGCTGCACGGAGCACTGTTACCTTCCTGCCACAGTGGTACCTATTGATCTACTCGCATCTGCATGTTTTCAAATTGGTTGGCAAAAGCTGGGGCTAACAGTGGGAGCTCACGCCACTCCCTGGGTTCGAACCTGCAACCTTTCGATTAGCAAGTTCAGTAGCTCAGCACTTTAACCCACTGAGCACTTTAACCCACTGAGCACTTTAACCCACTGAGCACTTCAACCCACTGAGCACTTCAACCCACTGAGCCAACATGAATGAAATTTAAAGTGCATTAACATGCATTAACTGTGGCCGGAATCTTGCTGGAAACTCTGCAAGTGACCTTAGCACCTGAAGAAAGTAGAACTGGGCAGTCCCATCGCATCCAGTGACATTCCTATGGAGGGGAGTCAACAAAGTACCTGATGCTCATTGGGACAGATCCATGTTGGTCCTGTTGTGCATTGAGGCACCGCTAGAGAGTGCAAGGTGCACTCTTCCTGTTTGGCGTCTTCACAACAGGTTTCTTCAGTTGACGTGCTATATATGGGAAGTGGTGTAACATAAACTGTGATAGAGCATCCCAGCTACATTCTGCTATAGGATCTCAGCAGCTGCAAGAAGGTATTGTGGCAAGAAATTAAGAGCCTGAAAACTCCAAGAGAAAACAATGCTGAACTGGGCATCAGTGGTTGAATTTTTTTACTCTGATTTCTATCAAAATATTTACTCATTTATTTATTTACAACATTTATATGTTCTCACCCTTCTCACTCTTTACAAGCAATAGCACAGCACAATATTAGTATTACATATTACTATATTGTACTATACCACTATACTGCAATATTATTAGTAATATTACATGTAATATACAAATGTATCGTCTTATTATTAGTATTGTATTGATTATATTGTAATATTATCAATATTACATGTGTATAAAATACATTATAATATTAGCACGGCACTATATTAGTATTATATATTACTACATTGTACTATACCACTATACTGCCATATTATTAGTAATATTACATGTAATATACAAATATATCATATTATTAGTAGTATTATATTGGTTACATTGTAATATTTAATATTATATGTGTATACATATATTATATTATATTATTAGCACAGCACAATAATAGTATTGTATATTACTATATTGTACTATACCACTATACTGCCATATTATTAGTAATCTTACATGTAATATACAAATATATCGTATTATTATTGGTATTATATTGATTACATTGTAATATTACATATATTATATTATATTATTAGCACAGCACAATATTAGTATTATATATTACTATATTGTACTATACCACTATGCTGCCATATTATTAGTAATATTACATGTAATATACAATATACAAATATATCATATTATTACTAGTATTATACTGATTACATTGTAATATTATCAATATTACATGTGTATACAGTAAAATATATTATTAGCACAGCACAATATTAGTATCATATATTACTATATTGCATTGTACCACTATACCGCCATATTATCAGTAATATTACATGTAATATACATATATCACATTATTATTAGTATTATATTGATTACATTGTAATATTATCAATATTACATGTATATACAATACATTATATTATTAGCACAGCACAATATTAGTATTATATATTACTATATTGTACTATATCACTATACTGCCATATTATTAGTAATATTACATGCAATATACCCCGAAGTGTGGTGGAGGCGCCTTCTTTGAAGGCTTTTAAACAGAGGCTGGATGGCCATCTGTCGGGGATATTTTGAATGGGATTTTCCTGCTTCTTGGCAGAATGGGGTTGGACTGGATGGCCCACCAGGTCTCTTCCAACTCTAGGATTCTATTATTCTATGATTTTATGAAAACCGACAATTACAGAAGAGGAGGAAGAGGTGAATCTTAGGATGGACCAGAGAACCAACCCCAAGGACTTAGAATTATTTTTAACTCTTGATCCTGAGAAGGCTGTTCCTCCAGAATGAAACTGCTGAGTAAGATTAGGAGAGAAGTCGACATTCAAGTGGAACTTTAAAGAGGAATGCTAATGGCGCTATTAAAAACCACCGATTCTGAGCAATTAGTTAAGGGATTAGGAAGACAGAGCATGAGCTGCAAAGATTAAGGCAGGGACCGACCTTAACCTTAATGGATCTTAAGCAATTAGCTAAATGTGTTAGATCATTGCTGAGAACTTGGAAACTATCCTATCCAAGATAGCCAGAAGTGGGATGAACCCTTTTACTCCCATAGGAAACTTTAAAACTCTTCCACCATAAGTGGGTGAAAGGCCTCAGACTAAGAAGGCTTGATCTCTACCTCTTTGAGTGTCCCTGGAGTAGTCGCCAGCCGATAAACCATATAGGCGGGAATGCAGATGAAAGATGACGTCCCGATGCAGTAACCCAGCACCATGGTCCAGTAGGGATACGTGTAGTCGAAAAGGCGGAGGTCTGGCACGCTGGACATGAAGCTGAAAATGATGAACTGGGAAAGACCCAATGAGTTAGTTCATAGAGACTGGGCATTGGCAAAGGAGGAGGAAGAGGAAGAAGAAGAGGAGGAGGAGGAGGAAGAAGTGGAGGAGGAGGAAGAAGAAGAGGAGGAAGAGGAGGAAGAAAAGGAAGAAGAAGAGGAGGAGAGGAGGAGGAAGAAGAAGAAGCGGAGGAAGAAGAGGAGGAGGAGGAGGAAGAGAAGAGGAGGAGGGAGAAGAGGAGGAGGAAGAAGAGGAGGAGGAGGAGGAGGAACAGGAAGAAGAGGAGGAACAGGAATAAGAGGAGGAGGAAGAAGAAGAGGAGGAAGGAGAAGAGGAGAAAGAAGAAAATTAAGAAGAAGAGGAGAAGAGAAGAGGAGGAGGTGGAAGAGAAAGACGAAGTGGAGGAGGAGGAGGAGGAGGAAGAAGAAAAGGAAGAAAATGAAGAAGAGGAGGAGGAGGAAGAAGTGGTGGAGGAGGAGAGGAGCAGGAGGAGGAAGAAAAGGAAGAAGAGGAGGAAGAGGAAGATGAAGAAGAGAAGGAGGAGGAAGTAGTAGAGGAGGAGGATCAAGAAGAGGAGGAGGCAGAGGAGGAAGAACAATAACAACAACAGGGGCAGAAGACTCATGAAACACAAGACATCGACATGTTCTCGCTTACCTCTCCAGCCTCCCATTCGGTTGGGTTGTAGACCCACTTAAAGCAAGATCCTGAACTGGCAACCTAACTACACCAACACCCATTTCTCATTATTCCGCATAGATCAGTGTTTGTCTACCTTCCTAATAGTGCGACCCCTTAATACGGTTCCTCATGTTGTGTTGACCTCAACCATAACATTATTTTCGTTGCTACTTCATAACTGGAATTTTGCTACTGTATTGAATCGTAATGTAAATATCTGATCTGCAGGATTTATTTCCATTCACTGGACCAAATTTGGCACAAATACCCGATACTGGTGGGGTTGGGGAGGGATTGATTTTGTCGTTTGGGAGTTGTAGTTGCTGGGACTTATAGTTAACCTACAATCAAAGAGCATTCTGAACTCCACCAACGATGGAATTGAACTGAACTTGGCACACAGAACTCCCACAACCAACAGAAAATTCTGGAAGGGTTTGGTGGGCATTGGCCTTGAGTTTGGGAGTTGTAGTTCACCTCCATCCATAGAGTACTGTGGACTCGGACAATGATGGATCTGGACCAAACTTGGCATGGATACTCAATATGCCCAAATATGAACACTGGTGAAGTTTGGGGAAAACAGACTTTGTCATTTGGGAGTTGTAGTTGCTCATTGGAGGGAAGGATAGTAGAGGCAAAGATGAAGTTTCCCATCGTGGTCAACTGTGAATCGCACATATGGTAATTCCTGTGCCTGCGCAGAACAGGAAGGATAGTAGAGGCAAAGATGAAGTACTTTGGCCACATCATGAGAAGAAAGGAAAGCTTAGAGAAGACAATGATGCTGGGGAAAATGGAAAGAAAAAGGAAGAGGGGCTGACCAAGGGCAAGGTGGATGGATGGCATCCTTGAAGTGACTGGATTGACCTTGAAGGAGCTGGGGGTGGCGATGGCCGACAGGGAGCTCTGGCGTTGGCTAGTCCATGAGGTCACGAAGAGTCAGAAACGACTGAATGAATGAACAACAACAGTTGCTGGGATGTATAGTTCGCTTACAATCAAAGAGCATTCTGAACCCCACCAACAATAGAATTGGGCCAAACTTCCACACAGAACCCCTCACAACCTCTGAAGGTGCCTGCCATAGATGCAGGCAAAACATCAGGAGATAATGCTTCTAGAACAGTGTTTCTCAACCTGGGGGTCGGGACCCCTGGGGAGGTCGTGAGGGGGTGTCGGAGGGGTCACCAAAGACCATCAGAAAATACAGTGTTTTCTGTTGGTAATGAGAGTTCTGTGTGGGAAGTTTGGCCCAATTCTATTGTTGGTTGGGTTTGAGATGCTCTTTGACTCTAGGTGAACTATACCTCCCAGTAACCAAAACTCCCAGATGGTAAGGTCTATTTCCCCCAAACTCCACTAGTGTCCACATTTGGGCATATTGAGTATATGTGCCAAGTTTGGTCCAGATCCATCATTGTTTGAGTCCACAGTGCTCTCTGGATGTAGGTGAACTACAACTCCAAAACTCAAGTCAATGCCCACCAAACCCTTTCAGTATTTTCTGATAGTCATGGGAGTTATGTGTGCCAAGTTTGGTTCAATTCCAACATTGGTGGAGTTCAGAATGCTCTTTGATTGTAGGTGAACTATAAATCCCAGCACCCACAACTCCCAAATGACAAAATCAATCCTTTTTCAAATCTGGGTATATTGGGTATTTGTGCCAAATTGGGTCCAGTGAATGAAAATACATCCTGCATATCAGATATTTATATCATAATTCATAACAGTAGCAAAATGACGATTCTGAAGTAGCAACGAAAATAATTTTATGGTTAGGGGACACCGCAACATAAGGAACTGTATTAAGGGGTCGTGGCATTAGGACGCTTGAGAACCACTGTTCTAGAACATGGCCATACAGCCCGAAAAACCTCCAACAACCCAGAAAATACTGTGTTTTTTGGTGGTCTTTGGTGACCCCTCTGACACCCTCTTGTAACCCCCACATGGGTCCCGACCACCAAGTTGAGAAACGTTGATATAGATAGCTAAGCCAAGTCTATCCTTAGCAGCCCCACCAAATGCTAGCCTTGACCTCCTGCTGTTTGACTGGGCTCTCAACTCCTGCCTAGTAACTGCAATACCTGGGCTTATTTGCTTTCCATTTCATTTCATTGCCTCGGGTTCATAAAGATGGGCTGTTTACGTAGCAGGATGACTGATGCTGTTTCGCTTTATCCCTGCCTTCCCCCCACAACTCCTTGTAATAAAATGGAAATTTGGTAAACACGCATCCATCATCTGAGCAAGAGAACCATCAGGTGGGGCTTAATTTCCGAGCTGAGCGTTAACTACACTATAAAAAGCACACAGGGCTAATTTAGGAACTGGGAGCTGTGGCTTTTGTTTAGTTAGGCTAGAAATGGGCTTGGACATATCAGCGGCGGGGAGAGGGCTTCGACTCCAGCCATCCTTTTCCATGTCCTAGCAAAGAAAACTCCGTCTCATTTTGCAAAAATTGGTGTCTGCAGAAACAATAATTCAGTAACTTTTCTCCCTTCTACAGTGGTTCTCAACCTTCCTAATGCCGTGACTCCTTAGTACAGTTCCTCATGTTTTGTTGACCCCCAACCATAACATTATTTTCGTTGCTACTTCACAACTGTCATTTTGCTACAAAACAGGAGCTTTTTTGTTGAGGTCCGGGGCCAGAGAAGCAGATGGCGGAAACAGAAGAACGGCCTGCCTCAGGGGAGCATGCTTGCCCCATCCATGTTCAACATTTACACAAATGACCAGCCACTGCCAGAAGGGACAGAGAGCTTCATCTATGCTGATGATCGTGCCATCACCACCCAAGCAGGGAGCTTTGAGATGGTTGAACAGAAGCTCTCCGAAGCTCTAGGTGCCCTTACCACCTACTACAGGGAAAACCAGCTGATCCCTAATCCATCTAAAACACAGACATGTGCTTTTCATCTCAAGAACAGACAAGCATCCCAAGCTCTGAGGATTACCTGGGAAGGAATCCCATTGGAGCATTGCAGCACACCCAAATACCTGGAAGTCACTCTGGAACGTGGTCAGACCTACAAGAAGCACTGCCTGAATATCAAGCAAAAAGTGGGCGCTAGAAACAATATCATACGAAAGCTGACTGGCACAACCTGGGGATCACAACCAGACACAGTGAAGACATCTGCCCTTGCGCTTTGCTACTCTGCTGCTGAGTATGCATGCCCAGTGTGGAACACATCTCACCACGCTAAAACAATGGATGTGGCTCTTAATGAGACACGCTGTATTATCACAGGATGTCAAGGCTCAACACCACTGGAGAAATTATACTTATTTATTTATTTTTCGTGGTCAAATGCAGAGCCAACCTCAAGAAATGGGGCCACAAAGTGGAATCCACAACATGCGAGTGGGGAGAAGAGCAAACCACTGACTACCTGCTGCGATGCAACCTGAGCCCTGCCACATGCACAATGGAGGACCTTCTTATAGCAACACCAGAGGCACTCCAAGTGGCCAGATACTGGTCATAGGACATCTAATTAACTACCAAGCTTGCAAACTTTGTGTTTTGTTTGTTTGCAATACAACTGTTTGGTTTGCTCCTGACATGATAGATAGATAGATAGATAGATAGATAGATAGATAGATRGATRGATRGATRGATRGATRGATRGATRGATGGATGGATGGATGTAAACATCTGACATGCAGCATGTATTTGCATTCACAGGACCAAATTGGGCACAAATACCCAATACGCCCAAATTTGAAAACYGGTGGAGYTGGAAAGAGGGAATTGATTTTGTCATTTGGGAGTTGTAGTTGATGGTATGTATAGTTAACTTACAATCAAAAAGCATTCTGGGTTCCCAAGACCAACAGAAAATACTGGAGGGGTTTGGTGGACATTGRCCTTGASTTTGGGAGTTGTAATTCACCTCCATCCAGAGAGCACTGTGGACTCAAACARTGATGGATCTGGACCAAACTTGGCACGGATACTCAATATTCTCAAATGTGAACACTGRTAGAGTTTGGGGAAAATAGACCTTGACATTTGGGAGTTGTAGTTCCTGGGATTGATAGTTCACCTACAATCAGAGCACCCTGAACCCCACCAGTTATAGAGTTGGGCCAAAGTTCCTACACAGAACCCTCACGAGCAGCAGAAAATACTATGTTTTCTGATGGTCTTTGGCGACCCCCAGGTTGAGAAACACTGCCGTACTAGTTTCCTCCTTCCTTCCCACGAACCCTTCATCATATCAGAGCCACAGGCTGCAATTAGTTAGGGAGACTCACCAAAAGGAAAATGGGGCTGATGGCTACCCAGCAGATCCTCCAGTACCATCCAGGGCTGAATCCGAGCATCTCTTTGACATCCCTGGAAAACTGACCCACGCCTGGAAAGACAACACGACGATGGGTTAAGCACTTCCCGTTGAGTATTTTTCTATGATGTTGATGTTCTTGAACAGACGAAGTAATAAGCCAAGAGATTGTTTTCAGTTGCCCCAGCACTGGGTTATGGAGGAGCACTGAGACTACAGAGCAGGCACTGCTGTTCTTCCTAACCTGAAAAATTGGTGTCGATATGAGCCTTGCAATCATGCCAGCCACATAACCCAGCATCATAGGTAAAGGTAAAGGGTTTCCCCTGACATTAAGACCAGTCGTGTCCGACTGTCCATTTTTAAGCCAAAGAGCCGGCGTTATCAGTAGACACCTCTAAAGTCATGTGGTCGGCATGACTGCATGGACCGCCCTTACCTTCCCTATTGATCTACTCACATTTGCATGTTTTTGAACTTCTACGTTGGCAGAAGCTGGGGCTAGCAGCAGGAGCTCACCCCACCCCCTGGATTCTAAGCTGAAGAGCCAGCATTGTCTGTAGACACCTCTAAGGTCATGTGGTCGGCATGACTGCATGGAGTGCCCTTCCCTATTGACCTACTCACATTTGCATGTTTTTGAACTTCTACGTCGGCAGAAGCTGGAGCTGACAGCGGGAGCTCACCCCACTCCCCGGATTCTAAGCCGAAGAGCCGGCATTGTCCGTAGACACCTCTAAGGTCATGTGGTCATCATGACTGCATGGAGTGCCCTTACCTTCCCTATTGATCTACTCACATTTGCATGTTTTCAAACTACTAGGTTGGTAGGAGCTGTCATGTGGTCAGAATGACTGCATTGAGCGCGCTTACCTTCCCTATTGACCTACTCACATTTGCATTTTTTCGAACTTCTACGTTGGCAGAAGCTGGGGCAAGAGCAGGAGCTCACCCCACCCCAGATTCTAAACCGAAGAGCTGGCGTTGTCTGTAGACACCTCTAAGATCATGCAGTCAGCATGACTGCATGGAGCGCCCTTACCTTCCCTATTACCGTCTCACATTTGCTTGTTTTCAAACTGCTAGGTTGTCAGGAGCTGTCATGTGGTCAGCATGACTGCATTGAGCATGCTTACCTTCCCTATTGACCTACTTACATTTGCATGTTTTCAAACTGCTAGGTTGGCAGGAGCTGGGTCTAATAGCGGGATCTCACCCTGCTCCCCAGATTTGAACCTGCAACCTTTCGATCAGCAAGTTCAGCAGCTCAGCGGTTTAACCCGCTGCACCATCGGGGACTCCAACAATCCAGTTTACAGTCCTGTAATCACCCAACGGGATGGATGCCAGCCACGGGGTTAAACTCACCATAGAACCACGACACCGCGATGGATTCCAGAAATACCACGGCTATCAGCGCCGGGCCCGTGGCATATTCCTCAAACAGCTTCACCACATATGCACCACCCTGTATGGGCGAAAAAGAGATCGTGGGAAGTGATAGAAGGAGAAAGTAGTCAAATGTGGCTCATTTAGGATACGAGACAGGGAAAGGAAGCCAGAAACACCCCGTAAAATCAACACTTGGTCCTCAGTGGTGCTAATGACCCGTTTGGGTAACTTCCCTTCGTCGGCCTCACACAATGAGGCGAGGGGAAGGCGATAGATAACCTGGGAGGACCAGGTTCCCATTCCCTTCCTTGGTGGGAATGTTTTGGAAGTGCGTCCCCATGACGGAGAGGGAAGGGAGTGGGCTTTCAGCTGGAACGGAGGCGCCTCGTTGACTGGAAACTTGAACTGCTGATAAGACACAATTCAAAAGGAGCTGTTTTCCAGCAAATTCTCCTCTCTGGCTTCCATGCAAGGTCTCCCTATCAAATATTCCTCTTGTTTTTGGTCTGGTGTCCAAGCTACTCTCTTGGTATCAAAGGAACAACAAGTAGAAAAGTGTTCTTGCCAGACATCAAGGGAACCACTGACCGCAGAGGGAAGCTGATGAGGAAACACAACATACAAACTATCTACAGACCCACCAAGAAAATCCAACAAATGCTACATTCAGCAAAGGACAAGAGGGATCCTCTCACTTCTGCAGGAGTCTACCGTATACCATGCAGCTGTGGACAAGTCTACATAGGGACCACCAAACGCAGCACTGCCCAACACGAATCAAGGAACATGAAAGGCACTGCAGACTACTTCAACCAGAGAAGTCAGCCATAGCAGAGCACCTGATGAACCAACCTGGACACAGCATATTATTTGAGAACACAGAAATGCTGGACCACTCTCACAACCACCATGTCAGACTACACAGAGAAGCCATTGAAATCCACAAGCATGTGGACAATTTCAACAGAAAGGAGGAAACCATGAAAATGAACAAAATCTGGCTACCAGTATTAAAAAAACTCTAAAATTAGAACAGCACAACAACAGAGAGGAAACAAACAAGGACATCTAATCACCTCTCAACAAAAGATTGCTCCAGGCACAGCCAGGCAATCAAATGCTAATCAAGGTGGTCAGTTGAAACATTCACACCTAGCCCCAGCAAACAAGAGTTCTTTGTCCCACCCTGGTCATTCCACAGATATATAAACCCCTTTTCCTAGTTCCAACAGACTTCACTACCTCTGAGGATGCTTGTCATAGATGCAGGCGAAACGTCAGGAGAGAATGCCTCTAGAACATGGCCATATAGCCTGAAAAAACCTACAACAACCTAGTGATTCTGGACATGAAAGCCTTCGACAATACAACAAGTAGAATCATAGAATCCTAGAGTTTGGAAGAGACCTCGTGGACCATCCAGTCCAACCCCATTCTGCCAAGAAGCAGGACAATTGCATTCAAAGCACCCCCGACAGATGGCCATCCAGCCTCTGTTTCAAAGCTTCAACCACACTCCGCGGCAGAGAGTTCCACTGCTGAACAGCTCTAACAGTCAGGAAGTTCTTCCTTATGTTCAGGAGGAATCTCCTTCCTTTCCTGTAGTTTGAAGCCATGGCTCCATTTCGTCCTAGTCTCCAGAAAGGAAGCTCGCTCCCCCTTCCCTATCACTTCCTCCCACATATTTACATATTTATACCTGGCAAGTGATGTAGATTTTCTCTACTTTGAAAAAAGTCAAAGATTGATACAACTCATCACTGTTTACACAAGCTGACCACAAATTTCTGAGATACCAGAAAGAAGTCTTTCCTCCCTTTAATTGGATTTGAACCTGGGAAGTTCAAGGTAAAGGTTTCCCCTTGACGTTAAGTCCAGTCGTGTTTGACTCTGAGGGTTGGTGCTCATTTCCCCTTGAATAGCAGCTTATAGGTTCATAAAGGTAAAGGTTTCCCCTTGATTTTCAGTCTGGTTGTGTCTTACAATCACAATCACATACACAAACAAAGACAAATGCTTCTCCTTTCATTTCCGGCTCTGGAGGCGGTGCTCAACTCTGACTCTGGGGCTCATCTCCATTTCTAGGCCAAAGAGCTGGCATTGTCCATAGACACCTCCTAGATAATGTGGCCAGCATGACTGTATGGAGCGCCCTTGGAGTCCTGTTGGAGCGATACCTATTGCTCTACTCACATTTGCATGTTTTGGAATTGCTAGGTTGGCAGAAGCTGGGGCTGATAGCAGGAACTTATGCCGCTCTCCGGATTCAAACCTGCGACCTTTCGGTCAGCAAGTTCAGCAGCTCAGCGCTTTAACGCACTGTGCCACTGGGGGCTTCCAAGGTAAAAGTTTTCCCCTGACATTAAGTCCAGTCGTGTCAGATTCTGGGGTTTGGTGCTCATCTCCATTTCTATGCTGAAGTACCAGCGTTGTCCTTAGACACCTCCTAGATCATGTGGCCAGCATGACTGCATGGAGCGCTGTTACCTTCCTGCTGGAGCGATACCTATTGCTCTACTCACATTTGCATGTTTTGGAACTGCTAGGTTGGCAGAAGCTGGGGCTGACAGTGGGAGCTCACACTGTTCTCTGGATTCAAACCTGTGACCTTTCGGTCAGCAAGTTCAGCAGCTCAGCGCTTTAACGCACGGTGCCACTGGGGGTTCCAAGGTAAAAGTTTTCCCCTGACATTAAGTCCAGTCGTGTCAGATTCTGGGGTTTGGTGCTCATCTCCATTTCTATGCTGAAGTACCAGCGTTGTCCTTAGACACCTCCTAGGTCATGTGGCCAGCATGACTGCATGGAGTGCAGTTACCTTCCTGCTGGAGCGATACCTATTGCTCTACTCACATTTGCATGTTTTCGAACTGCTAAGTTGGCAGAAG